AATAACCAAAAAATCATAAATTACTACATCAACATCCCAGAATTTCACTATAATTTACCAAGCTTAGCAATTAAGCTGTTTTTGGGTCTCAAAAATTATGAAATTTTGAGCAGACTAAAGACTCAACTTACCAGCTTGAAGATTTGTATCAAAAGAACGATATGAAGTTGTGATACTTGAAAATGGTTGAGAAAGCTACTATGGGTACATGTCACAGACAGAAGTAAGTGTATTTAAGGGAGTGTTCCCAAAATGGAAAGAGGAGAGCGGGGCCACTGTGTTTGATTCAGTACATGTGCAATATCTCAGCAAATGAAAAAGATAGGAGGTTCTTATTTGATATCCTAGCTTCTCAATATTGGTAATTTGGGTTCCTAATTTGTAAGAAACTATAGACTTTGTATTTGGACGTCACAAACATCTGCATTCAAAATATCATGTGACACAAAAATTGATATTTAGGATTTCTTTTTTAATATTTACTTTTAAATACTAAAATTTGAAATAAAATCTACAATTTGATACCAAACTTACTGACATACAATCATAAAATAGTAGTTCAATAAATGCAATATGACATGGCCTTTGACCTGTAATGATAAGGTTAAATAAAATTACAATTCTGAAAATAGTAACAAATGTAGTTTTATTAGATAATTTTTTAAATTCATATGCACTATCATCACTTTTAATGAACTGATCAGTTGGTCTGTATGAAATCATAGGCATCTTTCTTCCTTGTTTAGATACCTTAATATAAACAATCTATATTTTTGCAAACATCAGTGATTTCACTTCATACATAAGCTTCATTAAACACTTTAAAAACCTGAGTATTCTTTCATAATTTTAACTTAACTAAGATGACACCTAACATGCTTATTGCTACTAAGTCTTCTAATTTCAGCAAATACTTTTAATATTAATATAAAAAACCATAGCACAGCTAGCTAATCTTTACATCTCTTATCTTCTAAAACCTATGGCATGATTATCCCAAGGTAAGAAAGATTTACCTACTTATATCAGAAGCAATCACAACAGAGGTCCAGTACTCAAGCTCTATTTGAATCTGACTTGTACTTTAAAAATGCATATGAACACAATAAATTTAAGTTTAAAATCATCACATATATAGATGTTATATGTAAGCTTACCAATAGCAGCCTTTCCCCAGATTTCAATACTATAACTTCTGGTTCCTGATTCACTCTGAGCAATGACATTTTCTTTTTGTTTTCCAGTATGTTTTCCAAAGTCCAAAGACTGATTAAACCACCACTTATTTTTTTGTTGCTCTGGGAGATTCTGGTTTTTATTAAGAGGACGGTTTTGTCTTTCACTCTCAAATTCTTCTCCCCAAGGATTCCAATTATCTTCGTCATCTAACAATGAAATAACATTTTATTCATGCTAAAATATTTACACATTAATATTTTTCTTACCACATCTCTAATATAGAGAAATATAGAAAAATAAGGCAGTTGTGAGAGTTGCAAAAAAAGGAAATAATTAAGAATTCATCTCCTAAGAGCCTACATGAAGAGTGGGAAATAGCAACTGGGGAGAGATGAAAACCAAAGGCAGTTAAAATTGCAATATGGTGTAAGAAATGTGTTTCAAAGGTATTGGGGTAACCCACATACTTGCCTGCAAAATCACATCTAGGGTACATTAACGGCTAGAGGACAAAATAAGTTATGAGATGATATGAAAAGGACGAAAGTGTCATCATTCATAAAAGAAAAAAAAAAACACAAGTTGTTAAACCCAACTGTTCAAAGTGGAAGGAGATGAATCATGAGACACAGAGGAAGTCTACGGTAACAAAAAGACATTGTCAATTGCCATGAAATGGAGCTATATAAGTGAGATAACAATGAACTGTCCGAGCAGAACAAAGGAGATGATAGGGGTTGGAACAATCATACAGCCCAAATCATGGGGAAGAAGAAGCATTCTGGGAATAAATCAAATTGTTCTTAAGTTAAGAGTACAAGAGGTCTAAGGCTTAATGTTAGAGCAATGTCTTCTGCAAGCAAGGAGGAGAAGAAAATACAACTTTTGAGTAAGATGGTACAGGAAACAGGTGACCAAGGGTTGGAACTGGAGCAAGCCTCAGAACTAATCAAAGGTTCCAGTACAGAAGACGAACTAAACAAGAAGGACAACTGGTGAGAAAGGATTGGAAATGTTCCATAAGACTAGAGAAATAAAATGAGAATGACCAAGGAAGAGAGAGAAGTTTATTGACAAACACACAGAAAGAGATCTGACTACTCCTGACTCAGCATTCACTGCTGGAGCTCCTTCATTATTCATCTCATCTGGGTTGGCTGAAGAGCCAAGTCCATTTTGCCCCATCCAGTATCTGATTCACTTATATTAGTTCCCCAGTAATACACATTGATATATTGTGCAATAAGTTACTATAACTATCATGGAAGTCCCTAAGATAAGACTGAGGGAAGTAACTTCACAAAGTAAGGTATCCTGACAAGGCAAATCTCAGAAACAAATGAACCAAGTTAACTGGACACTGCAAAAGATATTAAAAGATTAAAACCAAAGTTCAGAACAGGTAGGTATGATTTTACCCTGTGAAGTGTTGGACTAGCAATGTAGAACCGTCAAAAGAAGATAAAGCATTAATAGATACCAAAGAAGTTCAGCAAGAAAAAGATGAAGAACAGACTGAGACTGAGAAAGAGAGACAAAAATGAGGAGGAGAATATTACCAAGCCAATGTTGTTTGTTTTTCCTGTCTGTTTCATAATATTTTTTTTCTTTTTGAAATAACTCTTCCATACAGAATTTATGCTGTCAAAATTGTCTTTTGTTTCAGATTTTCTAAAATAGATAAAGGTACAGCTGAAACTACAGCTGATTGTGACATATCTCTTGTAATTTAATTTGTTCTTTTTCTCCATGCCTATTCCCTTGTTTTCTATTCTTTAAAGTTAAATTTCTGTTTTTACGAAATTTTTGTCTTGACTTTACACATAATCCCAACTGCGTCATCCTCTCATACCTAAATAATCTTATTCTGTGACATATAGCTGTGTTTCATTTTCTTTCCTTAAACTTCATTTCCTTGAATCTCTACTTCCAGAAACAAGAAAAAATATAAAATATGCTAACACTAAACAAAATTGGCTGAATGTTTTGAAGAGATATGGAGGTAGAAAATTTGTGCAGTTTATTTGATTGGAACTGTTGTTCTTAATACTGTAAAGGATATAGTTAAAAATCATGTTAAGCAATAGCATTTACATTTGATGCTAGACATAAATATACCATAACTGAAATATCTTTGATATTAAAAAAAATGCAAAGTTAATAACTTCAGAATTCTTAATATATTAATGGGGATGATTCCCTGAAATTATAAGGATTGTTGGATGAGAATAAAGTTATGACTTACACAGAAAATAAAAATTACTTCAAATTCTTATTAGAATATATTTCTTTCAAAACTTGCATTCCACAAAAATCACATTCAAAGTTTGGCAGTCTGAAAACAATATTGTAACTACAGGGAAAATTATATTTACTTTGGAAATGAGCTGCAAAATTAAGAAACTTTTGAAAAATAGACATCAGGTTATTGACTTTCTTATTAAGGGATTCATCTAATTTTTTAATGTTGCATGAATTCTTAGTATTATGAATTTTGAGAAGAATGATACAAATGATTATTATAGTAATCAGTAAATACTGTAGATATAGTATGGTTGATATATTATTACATATTCTTCTTCTTTGATTTCACTCATAATTTCTTATAATAATGAAAAGTGCTATTCTTGAGACAAACAAAAATCATTAAGGTATGTAAACATAGAACATAAAATGTAAAATAAAGAGGTTTATAGTTGCATTTGTGTGTAAAAATAAAAGGAAAATTACCAAATAATCCACTCTAAGATCTGATAAAATGATGGCTTTATAAAGCAAGCTGGAATATTCAAGATTCTATTTTTAACTATTTTGTGATTAGTTTACTTCAGTTATTTCTTATGCTCTGTACATGTTAACCTTTAACCATACACGAATGAAGGACTTTTTTTTTTGACATCACACTTTTTTATACCTAAGTAACATCTGGAAAGAAATGTCTGTAATGTTATAAAAGGTCATCTTATTTAAACAAAAGCACAAATAAATAAATTACTTTATCTAACAATAAGGCTCTTCAAAGTCACAGGTTAATTAGGTTTGAAAGTAATTGAGGATGTAACTATTGTTGGTATATACAACATCATGCTGAATTAGATAAATGACAAGTATAATCAATGACACATAAGCACTTCAATTTACTAGTCAAAGCCTAATTTGAAAGAATAGTGAAAACCTTGATTACTATTAGCAAGTCTGTTTTATATATATGGGGATGGTCCAGGTACTCCAAAATTCCTTTCAAAATTGCTGCAAACTAATAATAGAAGCAACATTCTGAAAGTAATAAACAAAACACAGAAACCTTGGCTAGTATCAAATTAGAACCTGCCTTTTCCAGTAATAACACCACAGATAACAACAAGGTATTCAAGATCAAGGAGACATTCCTAACCAAGTTATGGAAAACCTATTCTTGGGAAATGCTCGAGTACCCCCTCCTCCAGCCTTTTTCAGGTTCTAATACTACTGGTGGAGAAAAAAGTAGTATATTTTCTTTCCTTACAAACACAAGTAGAAATACTTGTTTATAACTTCAAGGTTTTTCTGCTTCAGTTTTTATGATGTGTGTGTGTTTCAACGTAAACCAAATATCAGGTTATGTACTTTTTTATATGGTTATGGAAAAGTAGAAGGCTCCAACTCTCCATATACTTTTTTTACCTCTGTAGGTAGCTCAGAAAGAAAATATAAATAGGAAGTTTCAGTGATTTGTAACTAATGAAAATAACAAAAAAATTCACTCAACATTGGATTTCACAGTCCAAATTTGGTAGAATTACACTGAAAGTTCAGTTATGTAGTTAATAATTAATGAAAAACAATTAAATATCATACCTGTAAATCGACCTTTCACACCACATAACCTTCCCATTGGAACAATATCAACAAAATGTCAGTGAATGTTATCAAATTATTGCTTTATCTTGGAAAACTGAGACTGCATGAAACCCATATCAAGGCAAGATAAAATGTAGTCCCAATAAAATCCATCAATTTCAAACTCATACACATAGATTAATATTATATGGATAAATGAAATGAAAACTGTCAACAACCAAATGTTAAAAATGAAGTATGAGCTTACCTATATACCTATGAAAGTATAGGAGATATTTTGTAATCACACTGGTTGTAAACTTGAAATACCGTGATTGATAGATACATACCAGTAGTAACCTCCACCTGTTCTACGTCACACCATAATGTAATTGATAAATTGTTCATACCAGTTAATCTTAGACTATTGCAGCACATGTTCTTTAGCTCTAACCACACCCAATGATATAATGTATAGCAAACTGTTGTCAGGACAACATATCGTCTGTTTTCACCTGATGATATGATGTGAAGCAAGATGTTGCCAAGCCAACGTACAGTCTGTTTACAATCCCACTTCATCATTTTTTGACATGCTGTCAGTTCAATTTGGGCAGATGTATCATGTATCAGTTTATGCATTATGTAACAGGCACCACAAAGTTTATTGTAAGGCATTGTCTCTACAAATTCAATGGCTACAAATAATTATAAATGGTTTTAAAGTTTTGTTGTGTGTTTTCAAATAGACAGTGCTTATAAATCCAATTAAACTGCCCAGACCAAAGTAGAGCATAAAGGGATCTATTGTTTCATGTATCACTGATCCTGATTGGTTCAGCCAAGTTGAACCAACCCCCTGTTTTTGGTTTTAACATTTGTTTGCTGCCAAATGGCAGAAAAAAGGTTTAGTGATCATTGTTTTTTAAAACCTATTTACAAGTAGTGGGAGTATGGTTGCCTTCAAATAAATCATGCAAACTCAGTGTGTATAAGTGCTGTTGATATTTTTCATTTGTTGTTTAGTGTACAATAATTAGTATTTTGCTCATAGGAGATTTATATATTCACAATTATGATTTTGCATTCACATACTTCCGAGGGCGGGAACTATAATTCTCCAGGGTTCCCTAATATAAAATATGAGAAGAAAAATGTCTTTAAAATTCAAATTTTATAACTTTTTTTTTAATTTTTCAATTAATAATGACAGAAGTTCAAATAGGAAATGGCAAATGAAGTACAACCACCGTATAATTTAATGCAATGACATGGCTAATGTCTTTGCATTAAATTATAATACTTACTTTTGAAACTTATAGTGCCATTTATTTATCTTTTAAAGTTACTAATTCTTTATTGATAAGTTACAAGTCAAAGATATTATGGAAAGTTTAACCTTATTTGAAAAAAAAAAAAACACGGAGAGTTGAAGCTTTTCTCTTCACAATAATCTTTTTATATTTTCACATCACGGTATCAGTATCACAGTAATAAACAAAAACAAGAAAAAAATACAAAACAAAAAGGCTTATTACGATATTTGTTTTTGAGTTAAGACAGATGAGTGATATATAATAATTGTGTCAACACCTAGGTCAGTGGGCGACAGGTGTAAATGTAAGAACTTAACAATATGAATAAATTTTATACGAGTACAAATACTAGCATTGAAGTTCATGTCCAGTATCTAGTACGTGATCGATGTAATTTGTTAATGTTATGTAATTTATAAAAACAGATTTTTTGAGCAATAACTTTGTGCTAGCGTTAGGCTTAACGCCCAAAGACTCAACTACACTGAGCAATAAACTGGAGTTAGGTCAACGTTATAAACATTCACAAAAATACTCACCTGGTAAAGTCCATATTTTTTGAGAACTTTTTTTGTCCTTTTTAAAATTTTTAACTAACAAAATATATGCAGTATAACATGTTAATACACAATGAATTGCGAGTACTATTATTGCTATTTTTTTCAAAGACATCAACATCACGCCATGTCAAGTATATTAATTACATTTTTAATCAGTAGGTGGCAGAGCACTTTGTATTATTTTTTTAAGCATTGTTTGTTTGAGGTAAAAACAAGTTAACTGCAGATTATTATTTTTTCCACATTCCTTTTGGTTCATCCATAACTGCTTGAAAGTATAGATGTGTAAAAAAATAATATTCTTTGTTGTTAAACGTAAAGCTATGTAATGAGCTATCTCCCCAACTATGGAATCTAAAATCATTTTTTTTTGCTTAATGCTGAGCCACAGGCAGGCAAGAATTTTAAAACTGTCACTAGTGTAATCTTGATTAGTCCCCTGGAGGATCAGCGGTTAGTTTACAGACTTCCAACACTAAAATCTGGGATTCGATTTCCCACATTAGATAAAGTTCAGATATCCCTTTGTATGTCTTTGAGCTAAAATAAACAAACACTTTGTTTAACTATTCGTAAGATAATATATATGTTACCATTAAACTCTGTTTATGATAAGTCTTTCTTAGTCAAAAACAAACTCATTAAATCGAGGTGCTGGTTCAGCGTATGTCTTATTTTGAATTTTCAATCAAATATGCCAAAGATTTAACTGATAAATAACAGATATAATTACCTCAAGGTATCACCTGACACAACAAGGGTAAAAATATCTGTCTACCTTTGCATAGTGTGTTCTAGTTTAAAGAAATGTTTCTCATAAGAAAGTGTACATGATACCGTTGGGAAATGACTCAGAAAAATAGATATATAGGGAGAAATGAACTATCCACTTTCTTGATCAATATCCTATTTGTCTATAAATACACTATACATGAAAATTTTAAAAATCTTAGGCCAACTTAAGAGTTTACTTTATCAATTAGAGGAGGTAGAAAATATCCAGTATGCCTACAAGCTACGTGCACACTGAGTTAAAAAAAGGGCGATCATATACTGATTCAATGCTATATGTATATGGTATTCTCAGGATAAACTGATTTATACACGAGTACTAGATAGATCCACTTTATAACAAGAGATTAGTGCAAGTATGGTATTTTCGGGTAAAATGACTTTTGCACATATATATCAACTAAGTCTGCTTAATAAGTGGAGAATGGAGTAGGAAATTTGAATTGTAACCTGTGTTCGATTAAATGACCGAGTTTTAAGCTGTTAGAGAAATAAAAAGACTGGACATGTGATGTAAAGTGTAAACAATTTTTATTACAAGAAAAAGCAAACAAATAGTGTGCATATTTGCATGGACACTTGAACAATCACCTACTGCTGGATCAATGAATACATAAGCAGTTTTCTTCCCTCGATACAAGTATCTGAAGAATTGTCCACGTCGAAACCAATCAGAACTCTGACTGAACCAATACTCTTTACAGAAAGAAGAAACATTGGTTATATTCAGATACGATATGCATTACCACGTGACTGATCATTCTCATGCAATATACATAGGCTGTAAGCTCTTGATATCATCCATTAAGCGAGTAAAGGATATCGCTGTAAATATGCCATTTCGATACAGTGTATGAACTTGTAGCAACATCCTTGCAAGCAAAATAGGTACTAACAGCTAAAGAACAACAGAGATACGGAGGTAACTAGAATGAAACAATTTCAACAGTTTTCTGGACCACGTGTTTATGTCAAAACTGCTTGTGGCAACTCATTAAACAACCCTGTGTGGTTTTACGTTTCATTGCAAGGCATGGTTATTCTTTCAGAATACCTCCCAGCTCGGAGAGGCTCCCTACATCAGGGTTCATCGTCTTTACTCATGGGTGTCCGCTGTCTCACCTACAGAGGAAACAGCTGATTGGTAGAGGTTGTCTGCCAGTGACACTTCCAGTCCTTCTCGGCTGGTCGTGTATAGTCTTGAACAGAGCTGGGTCTATGATATACCCTGGCTGATTAGAGATTTGGAATCCACTAGAGACTTCCTCATGTGGTCTAAGACTCACCAAGCACCATTTCACCTTAATGTTTTTCAGTCATTTTCACTCTTTGTGTGCCTAAATTGATTCTGAGAGGCAATCTACCAGTTTGGCTGCACCAGCAACTAGTCAATCATTCTGAGCCAGTGTTTGTAGGATGATCAATGTCAAGAACAGTCACAAAATCAGCAAATGTCATATGTCCAGTAAAGGATTTCTTTTGGACTTAAAACCCCATTTCCATTTTGAGAATAAACAGTTTTTAGTTAGAAGCATTTCTTTAAAGTTTTCTATTCAACAAATCAAACAAGAGCCATCACACACGTCAGCAAAGACAAAAAACTCTGCAATAAATCCTGTGGTGACGGAACCAAAATGTATTCGTCTCATCCACTATTATTAGAATGGTCTACCTTATATTGGGGGATTTGTACCGGATAATTACAGAATAATCTGAACTTAGCTAAATGACAAAATACAGGGTGCCTACTCGGTTCAAGGCCTGAGTCAATCAATGGGAAGTCATACTGAGGGATAATAACTGTTAATTGACTCACTGATCTGGTAGGAAAGAAAGTGTACAGTATCTATGCAAATACACTGTATGTTTGCTTTGTATTTTGAATAAAGTTTATTTTACACTTTACACCATGCATAAAGTCAATTTATTTTAACAGTCCAAAACTGACACTCTGTACCAAACAAGAAACCTTGGTTTTACCGATAAGTGGTAAACATCACCACTTGACTAGTTATTCTCTTACAACATAGTTAGGGTGTAACCTCAAGATACCATCTACACGGCCAGTGAAAGGCATTGCTGTCGTGACCTATCCTACACAACGTGTGAAATTGCAACAATATCCCTATAGGCAAAGTATTTACTATCTGATAGAGAACAACAAAAATAACTAGAACGAAACAACTGAATAGTTTTGTGGGCCACGTCTTTGCAGGTTTTGCATAAATTCATGGTCCAACAATCATTAAGTTGATTTTGTTTTACCTACCTCTATTCCTTTGTTGTTCTCTAGAAATAATTTCTCCTCCACCCGCGGGTATATTGCTGCAACGCTGCACAAGAAGATTAACGAGAGCAGTATCGTTCACTGGTAGAACAGTTGATATCTAGAAGTTATGGCCTTCCCCATTTTGAATGAGAATGACTAGTCGTGGAATTAATACTAGCCTCTATTGGAATTTAGCATTTCCTGTTAAGTAAAAAGTGTTGAATTCAAACAATTCTATATGATATCTTATAATGAGCTGATTGGGAGGAAGATTTCTCAAGGGAAGAACAGCTGTTGGTGAATTCACAAGTCCAATAGAAGGCAACCATTCGGAGTCCATCACATGTACATACATGTACACTGTATTTTGTGTTTTGATATAAATACAGATTGTTCATTTTACATTACACATCATGTCTAGCCTACTTATTTCTTGGTTTTAAAACGCAGTCTGTGTAATTAACTTCCGATTTACTTCATAATTTATCCCACCGATTCTCCTGTCATAAAGCGGACCTACCTAACACTCTTTGCGGAATTCAGTTCATCTGAGAATACCACATTTTCAATTCATTGAGCTTCAATCAGCTGAGGAACTCTGTAATTCTAGTACTATAGTAAGTTATGTAAAACTGCTTATAATTAAAGCTCTGATGTTAAGTTTTGAATAATATTCCATCTTTTACACGAAAAGTATTAATATGGTATACACTTTCAGCAAAGGGGACAAATACAAGAAACTGAACAACTAATTGCATTTCACTAGCCCACAATGGCTCAGCAGTAAGTCTGACGGCCTATAAAACTAAAAATTAGGTATTGATACCAGCGATCAGTAGAGTACAGAGATCACATTGTATAGCTTTGCGCTTACCAACAATCAAACAATTGCACTACGTATGGCTTGGCTATATGATACTATTCATTTCAATTTTTTATTAATTTGACATCATAGTTTAACGATCTCCAATTATTCAGCAGTATGCTCGAGGGCTTATAATGGCAAAAATAGGAGGTAAATACCAGCTACAGGCACAGCGTAGTAGCTTTGTGTTTGAATCAATACAAATTTAAACATTTTAGTACATACACAGCTAGTCCAATATCATATATGAAATATTAATTTATGTTTTCATTGTATATGTTTATATGAATCATTTATGTCGTTTGCGCTTTTTATAGTGTGTTACTTTAAGGATATACCTGCACACAGTTACCCGATGTTTTGTCAAATAAAAACTTATTCAGGGATTCGTATGTGAAAGGAATAGTGCAGTGATTTTTTGTAAGTAAATGGAAAGAGACAAGACACCGATTTGAAGTTTGATTAACACAAACTGATTTATTTTCTGAATAAAAATAAAGATTAGCTGATAATTTTAGTGGACTATTCCATTGAGATAAAGTAAGAGAATAAATAAATAAACAGAATTTAAAAGATAATTAAAATGAACTCATTTGATCAGCAGAAGGGACAGATAGAACATCAAGACATAAATTAACGTTTTTCCATTGAGTTTTGACTTCTTCAGAGCAGAAACAAGTCTGCTCTTCTGAAAGATCAGAATGAATCTGTCTCGAGAAATGACAAATCTTCCAATCCCAAAACACATTTCTCTTTATATGACTAATAAGAAGACAGGCACAAAAATATGGAAGTATCTCTGCTCCATGTGACAGTTATAAATTGATGGTTGGCAATGACCGTTGATGATGACTGAAAATTCTAACACAAATATGATAAATTGACGTTGCAATCCTTACTTTATGAGTAGTCATGTTGAGTTTTGTTTTAAATGTTGGTGGACGTTTAGTTCTTGAAAACCCCTGAAAAAAATTTGTAATTTTGCACATTAGTTAACATAATTTTGTGATGTGTCGCTATGCGAGAGTTCGTCTGATGGACACTAAGGTCGAGTATTGTAGCAAACGTTGATGTATCTCTATTTGTAAAAAGCTCTTTGAGAGAACTAGTAATCTCACGTGTAAGGTTCACATCACTTCATATTGTGTTGCTATCAAAATTAAACTTGATGGTAACTCAGGTGGAGTTTTGTGGTCAGTGTTGAAAGATGTTTACCTGTTGAAGTTCACCGAGATTGTTTGTTTTTTGAATTTCGCGCAAAGCTACACGAATGCTATCTGTGCTAGCCGCCCCTAATTTAGATGGAATGCAGCTAGTCAACACCACCCACTTCCAATTCTTGGGCTACTCTTTTACCAACAAACAGTGGAATTGACCGTCACTTTATAATGCCCCCACGGCTGAAAGGGCGAGCATGTTTGGTGACGGGGATTCGAACTCGCGACCCTCAGGTTGCTAGTCGAGCGCCTTAGCCATTAGATCATGCCAGTCCTGGTTTCCTCAGATAACATGAACGTAAGTCGACAGGACATTGTGTGGTGTTGTTATGGGAGATTTATCTGATGGTCCCTGAGGTTAAGTTTTGTGGTGAACGTTAAGGGATGTTTATCTGTAAAAACTCTCCCTGAACTTATGCATAAGTTGACGCGACTTTGTATGGTGTCTATAGGTGCCTACTCAGGGAGGCTGAAATAAAAACGTGTAATTCCACTTTGAATATTTTTTTAAAATTTTCTCGCATCATTTTATTTGTATTCTTCCCTTCCCTTGGCCACACTTTTAATAAAAAAGGTCAGCGCCTATTGTTATGGCATTATGTAAGACTGCACCTAACAGTCTAGTTGGAATGTACCAGTTTTCCTGAAGAACAGTAAGGGAGTTGTGCTATAACACAGCATAAATACAATAGCGTAGCTTATATAAATCAGGCAGAATGTGTACTGTTTTGCTAGATTTTTATCTGCCATTTTTCGTGATTGTCTAATGTATCAGGTTTATCACGACCTCTAGATGACAGTACTGAGGGGATAAATATGGAATGAATCAAACTTGGCGGCCAAACTGGTAGCTACATTTATAGCATTGATTAGAAATTTACAGCAAATATTCGTTCATTAGTTAGCCAGGCCGCACTTTTTGTTCAACTAGGAGCATGATTGTAGGTAAAACAAAATTTTGGTCAAAATTGAGCGTTTTTTGTTGAATAACTTTGCACATGTAGCTTATAAGTAGACCAAATTTGACACATAATTGTAGGTTGTAAAGATCTCTTAGTGTAATACATTTGAAAAAAGTCCATGAAAGTTAAGTCTGTTTCACCAGCAAATCAATTTTCCGTACTTTCGGTGCGAAGAAAAAATTCAACCAAAATTGGAGATTATATATCTCGTGTATTTCTTAATGGGTTGCTTTGAAATTTGGTATATGAGGTAAGCTTTCAGTAGAGCATGTACATTGAAAATACTCGATAACTGGGTTTACCTTAGTTCGAGCTACAGAAAGTGGAAAATTGATAACTATCAATCCTGTGTTGTTTTGTCTGCACGAAACATTGCCGTGCGTCTTGGTGTGTGTGTGTTTGTTTGGAGAGGAGGCGGCTTCTAAAAAACAAAAAAAATCTTAACTTTCAATCCCTTCTGTAGGCTTGTAACTGTGATTTTAGACCAGATAAATGTTAAAAACGTATTTACAACTTTCTTATCCAATTCGAATAATCCAAAATTACTATTGCAACGAAATGAGCAAACAATACTTGTCCGTCAAACAAGCACTGTTCACTCATATAAAGAAAATATTTTGAAACAAAAATGAATGTTGTTATTAGAACAAGCTATTTCTATCTGTTGAAAAAATTATATTACGTTGTACATTTTGTATATCTAATTTTAGTATACTGAAGGATATGCAATAAAAAACCTTTCTTCTGCAAACGCTAACCTATTTTAGATCAGATAATTATACTAGTCTGTGCTGCAACGCAATTCAGTGCTTTTATTCATTCATTGTATTTTCACTTTTGTGAGAGGTCTCTTTTGTTAAATTAATGAAAGCGTTATGGCGGCAACGAGTATACCGAATCCTTCGACTCTTCTTCCTCTTGGTAGATAACTATCATTATAATATCTTGTTTTACTTAATGTGAAAATACGAAGTTGTTGTCATACTTCTTATTCTTTATTTGAATGAACAAATAATTTATACGAAAAGGAAACATTTGTTCTTTCTGATTACAAAATACAAGGTACTATGATTACGAATATGATGAGTCAAACTCAAAATTTGAATCTTGAGACTTGATTGAGAAAAGTAGTTGTCGAAAATTTTCAATTTCAGATTAGTGTAAGCTCTAAAATTACAAACGGTTGCTGGAATTAATGGAATTAGACTGTAATCTCTTTACTCAGTGTCATTGCATATCACTATTACTATTATTGACATGCTTATTGGTGATACTTAAAGCAAAGTTATAGATTAAAATTAGTAATAAAAAAGGGTATGAGACAATGAATATGACTATGAGAACTATGACCATCTAACTTTTAAATTTAATTAGTCAAATGCCTCGTCACGTAATTAGTTACACTTTTGAATGGATTAACAAGATTCTCACTGGCTCTGTTTACACTCTTGTGGAATCACAACCTAAGGGATAGGTTTGGAGAAATAGTTTATTTTAAACAAGATGAACATACCTGTTTGTTATTACTACTAGTATTCTGATTTAATGGAAACTGCCACATGTCTGTATTTTCAGGTGGCAGATTCTGAAAACGTAAAACCAATAATAAGAATTTGAATTGAAGTTGGTTTATTTGACTTTTTCTTGAAATCTTACTACCTCTATATGTTCATTTGGTATTGTTCAATGATGCTGAGTGACACTTGTTAATTTGGTATATATAAAAACTGGGTATTACCACTTACAAGCTACAGTGGTACTTTAATATTTTAAATTAACAGGATATAATTTAATATTAAGTTGGAAACTGCCTTGTGTAAAATGCTTTCTAAAAACTAGATGACATATTGTAAAGAGATAAACAGATGGCAGCAGAATTTGCTAAGTGTTAGGTCAAGAAGTTTTGGATTATGCAAGATATGGGTAAGCATTGAAATGTGTATCATTATTGTCTCCTTTCTGATGATAGTGGATCAGTAACATAGAAACATTCAAGTAAGGTCTGTTGCCTTCATTAAAGTTTTTATATTGTGTAATTTCAAATTTTGTGATATCTAGCTTTTAAAAACTTCTTTACAAAATAGTATGTAGTTGAAAAAATAAAATATTTCTTTGTAAAGTTAATATAACATTTAATTTTAAAGACAGTAATGAGCCTGTTGGTCCATTGATTCTGTCTCATCAACTTAAAAAACAACAAAAACTCAAATCAAACCCTGATCATTTAAATATTTGTTGAGCCTTTCTTCAAACTCTCTTAGATTTATTGCATCCAGTGGTCTACCACATCTGAAAGCAGCCAATTCTAAAGGCAAAACACACTGTTAGAGAAGTAAAACTGTTTAATCTGAAGATGATTCCTTCTTTGCCAAGTCAGAAATGTGAAGCTATATAAAGCTTAGGCTTGACTAATTATAAATCTTGTTGATTTTTGTGGTCTTTTTTTTTCTTTTTTAGTCTTTGCCACTGATTTTAGGTCGCAAAAATCAAAAAATCATACGTCTTGTTTCCAGAATTTATTTTGGACATTGCTATATATTATTGCCTTTAAAATTAAAGAACTGAATTTTAAAATGTTACTACAGATAGTAGAATTATCTGTTTGGAAACATGTTATGCTACTTTCAATTCTCAAATCAATAGACACATCCCTTGCTTAATATTTCTAAAAGTGTTCAAAGATTTTCAACAAAATAAACCTGTATACTATCACATCTTTACAGTAACAGCTGTGTTTTTGATAGCAGCAATGTAAGTTTTAGAATTTTAATTCAATGTTAGCTGACCAAAGAAAATGAACTTACACATACAACTGCTAAATTTGGAATAAGAAACTAATGTTACACTAATGAGTGGCTTATCAATTAATTTATCTAATTATTCTTTGTAAAGTAATGAATATGTTTAGTTCATTCAGTTTTTCGAAATATTAAATGTAAATATATATATATATTATAAACATAATAAAAAGTATTATTATCAGTTGTTTAGTGATAGCTGTATTTAATTGTTTAGAAACCTGATTTCTTCTTAGTTCTGATAATTGAAGGCATGGCAAAATTTGGTGAAATAATAAATTTTTTCAGATTTTAAGTAGATTCCCAAGGTTCCTAAATACCAAATTTGTATCGATCATTGCCTAGATTTCTAAATTATAGGTCTGACAGTAATATCAGATAGAATCTCATTTATGATTTTGTAAGTAAACATGCTTTATTAGCATAAAGGTTGGCATTTATTATAAGTTTGCAAATCATGGTCATTTTGTTTCTTAATAGAGTTGATTGATAAATGCATCGGCTCCAGAATTCACATCATTATGAAAAATGATAAAGAAATTGTTGGAACTTTACTTGGATTTGATGATTTTGTTAGTATCCTTTTGATTGATTGTACAATTTTAAATGACAAGAACTGTTTAGATAAGCTTCAGAAATTATAAAAAAAAAGGTATTCCAGAAAAATGTGTTGATATTAATAGCTTAGTGAAATTGTTTGTATAGTTTTAGTATTTGCTCAGCTACATAATGTAGTGCATGTTATTTTGAAAATCATGGTTCAATACAACATGAAATTGCTGAGGGTTTTTCTTTTCAGTTATTCCTGTGGAATTTCATTATTTTTTGTATTGTTTCAGTACACTGTATTTGTATGTTTATTTTAATTGGTATAGTTATATGGAGTTTATTTTAATTAGATCTACTTCCTATTCATTCTGGTGTCAGGGTCATTTGTAAACTTTTGGGTTCTTAAACTTCAAATATATTTTATAAGTTTTCATTTACATGTCTGTTTAATATTTTGAGCAGCATTGCTTACATCTACTATTAAAAAGGAGTATCTATTTTTATTTTTGTGTAAAATTTTAAGTTATGGAATAATTCATTTTGAAATATGTCTTCCATTTTATCAACTATGCTAAAAGCTAGGGCTGAGTATTGCAGACAAAGATATTGCAATACAAATTGTTTATAATTTTGATGGGAATAACCTTAACATTATTCTGGTTAATCAGTCTTTTAAGCCACACAAGCAGTGTGCTGTAGTTGGTAATAGGGCAAATAGGATTTTAGGTTGTATTTATGGAAATATTGAATACAAGTCTAAAGAGATTATAATTTCATTGTTTAAGTTGCTGGTAAGGCCACATTTGGAGTATTGTGTTCAGTCTTGAGCTCCTTACCTTAGGAAGACATTAGATTGTTGGAAATGGTTCAGAGGAGGGCTATTAGGTTGATACCTTGGATAGAAAGGTTATATAAGGATAGATTAAGATCTATGAATTTTTTTTTTTTAAAAAGAAGTAGTTAGAGGGGATCTGATTGAGGTGCTTAAAATTGTTAAAGGATTTGATGGTGTTGATCCATCATCTATTTTGTACTTAATTGTAAGAACAGTAGGATTGGGAGTCATCTTTAGCTAAGACAGATTTGTTTTTCTAATGCGTTAATTGTCCTTTGGAATGTGTTGCCGTCAGGTGTAGTGGATGCAGTAAATTTAACATAATTTAAGGTAAGGATTGGTAAATACTTTAATGATTAGGGATGGCTTTGAGTTTTTTAAAGTTTAGTGGATGGGATGGCCTGGTTGGACCCATAGGTCCCTTGTTGTCCTTAACTTTTGTTTGTTTTTATATTATTACCCCATTATTAGTATTTAAAATGGTGGAACACAACTCATTAAACAACAACAACACAACTCTTTAAGTCTTTCATTCCATACAGTCAAATCTTTATCATTGTTGAAGGTATTGGTAAGTTTTGACATAGTCAGTTATCTATTATGCCTTTCAGGCCTGTCCATATATTTATTTTTCTTGGTCCCACAGCAGTATTTGACTAGTTTTTATTATGTGAGACATATTCTATTCAAAGTCTCAACATTCACAATAACTATCAAGAAGTCAGCATCAGGAACGAAGAAAATAAAGTTCACCTGATTATGCTCATTGTATTGAGGACTAACCATGGTGTTACTAAATCTCTATTTTGCTCTTTAAGTTTGTGTGTTAAGGTCCTATTAAGATTAGAAAGTTCAACAATTCAGGATCTAATATTTAATGTAGTAAATGTAGGAATTAATAGGAGAATTAGATGAGAGTTCAACTTAGAAACTACGTGTGTAGAGTGAACTTGTTGTATTAGAAACTACGTGTGTAGAGTGAACTTGTTGTAATGATTACAGTAAAATATTGGTTTTAACTATTAAGATAAATTTTGAAGTTATATGTATATTTTTTAGTATATTTAATTAGAAGCTATAAGTTGTATGGATGTCCTCAATTAATATAATGGTCTGCTCCATGAATAACTTATGTTATTCTTTGTTATTTTGTTTAGAAAAAATAAGGGGTAGGGATATTCTTGAGTTTACAATTTAGTTTATTATGAAATATTGTGTTCAATATCTGTTTTATTCCTTAACTTTCTTCTAAGATATGGTTTTAGAGGATGTTACAGAATAGTAAGTAGAAGTTCCAAGTAGAAGTCATTTAAGAGATAATAAAAAATGTGTTGTTGAATATTGTAATACTGACAGGAATTTAAATGATTTTGATGAACAAGCTAATAATAATGTTTTATTGTAAGTTAGGGAAGTAGAAGTTTTTCATATTAGATAAACTATTTCATACATATATTTCTGGAAAGATACACAGGCATATCTTTAAATGTTACAACAGTTTATGTTGGCAGAAATAATATTTTAGTGCAAGTATGTCACACGTAATGTCTATATTTTTTAAATTTTTATTCTCTGAAAAAATATATAAGCAAGTAATTGTGTTGTTTAAAATAACCTTGATGATAATTTCAAATGATTTCTCAGAATAGTCCAAGTTGTTTTATGGTAATCATATGTTATTATTTATTACACTTTGCATGAATTTTATTTATGATAATTGTAAATATTAAGAAAATGAGCAATGATTTTTGTTTGGAACTGATTTTGTTGGTTTTGATTAAAAAACAAAAAGTATGTTTATAACTGTTAAACTGAAGCAGTAATTGTTTATATATTTCTTACAGAAAAACTTGTACTTCATTAAAATAATGAAAAACAAAGAAGAGCTATTTACTAACCTTGAATAAACTTTTCAGTAAAAAAACAGTGAAAATATAATAACACAGATATAAATCTAATAATAAAAGGAAATGTTAAATAAAAACAACTGTCAAGAAAAACATAAATAAAACTAAACTTCTTAGCTATTATCTTTCACTGTTTGTCACAAAAGATTCAAGATGTTTGTGTGGAATTGCACAAGAAAGCACATTCACTAAAAAATTTGATCATCATGAAGATGCCACATTAAATTTAGAAAAATGGGGATGGTGGTGTTTAGTTATGAGTTTAAGAAAGCTGTAATAAAAATACATTCTTGATTGAAATGTTAACTTTAATAAATACAGAAGTCATCTCTATATGTGAATTTTGCATGAATATTTGTTCAGACAGATAAATTACATAAGGTTATTCTGATGGTATGTCTTTATAAACTCATCATGAAGAAATTTAAGTTGAGAAAAGTGCTTTCTGTAAGCTTTCAAATAAATGACTTTCTAAATACTCAAAACTAACATATTGATGTGATATTTTTTTTTGTGTTCATGACTTTAATTCAGTGATAGAATATATTATCAAATATGAAACAATATCAATTTCACCACAAATTCATAAAGTCTATTAAATAGGTTTGAAAATAATAATAACTTCCAATCAGAGTAAAAATCAACCTGGCTATCAGTATAGCTAATTAACTATACTTTTTTTACTTTCCTTGGTTGGGTACCCTTGCTATTAGTGATATATTTTGGCCATAATCCCAGTAATATCTCATGAGGCTCAGCCAGCTTAGGAAATTTAGGTTAGTCCTAAATATAAATTCCAAGTTAACAATACAAAACAATCTTCACAATTAACAAAAGTATAATAATAAACAGTAAATCAAAATGAAAAGTAATGACATTCCATATACTAACTGTTATAATCAATATTGTTAATAGAACAACAATAAATAAACAATATAGTTTACCTTACTTATGGAACATAATCACTAGTTATTGTTGAAATATATTTCTTGGGGAATTGTAAAGTTGGTTTCTCTCTAGCATGTCACTTTACCAGAGAAAACTTATTAAGCTTCTCTTCAATATAAGATTAGAGGCCATTCTCATCTGTTTCAGTTTAAACCATCTCAAATCATTAACATCAACCTTACCTGTACAACTAAAAACCAATCTTTATGAAGATACAAAACAATAATACAAATAATAATAAATAAGTAGCTAAACTTAATATGTAGTATGTTTAAAACTTTTACCACCAGTCTTATTTAACTACTTCCTATAACAATCACTTAGAGCTGGCTACATAATAAATAACATCAAAATTTCTGTACGAGCCAAAAAGGATATGCTATAATCCTCTAGAAAGATGAAAGTCCATTAACAATAATAATACATAGTATGTAAAGATACAAGAGGCATTAATGTGGGGAAAAAAAGTAATTATAAAAACTATTCTTAACTAAACTAATTATATAATGTCAAACTATGTACAGAACTATTACATAGCACATATTATATAATAATAAACCAATGGTAGGTAAAACCAATTGTAATCAGCACACTAAAGCTGTTTAATCTTCGAAGTAATCAAAGTGTGAAAGATTTTATATGGTTGTGATATTGTACCAAACCTCTAACCTTCTAACATAATGGTGGGATCTTCAGGCAGACTTTAATATAATTTACTGTTATCAGAGAGAATGATACATGTGGCCATAATTATATTAAGAACTGCTTAGCTTTTATCAGTTGGTTTTGCAATTGACTTTTCATTATTCCTGGATAAAAATAGTCCATCTTTATTTCAAAGAAATTTAGCTATACAGTTGTTTTAGTAGTAGTATATGTGTAATTATTAAATATTATATCATCACAATAAGACTGGTTATAATTTAAATTACATCATTTTTTACTGGCTCTGTACAGGTTTCCACAAAAAAGTGTGTGTTTAATAACATTTCGGCTATTTCTTGTTTGTAGTGAGGCCTTTTGCTCAGTACCAAAGCTTATCAGATCTGCTGAATTATTATTATTTTTTCATATTAATGATGTTTAAAACTGATTAGGAATTTCAAATACTTTAATTTTTATTTCAAAAGAAGTAACAGATAGTTGGAAGATTTTACTTTGGAGATATACTAGTTTGAACTGGGAAGAATGCTCATTTCTTGTTTAAATTTTTAACATATAAAAAATGAATATTTTGAATTTCATGTAGAATTTCTGTAAGTTTTTCGTAGTAAAAAATATGGCAGTAAATTGTTGAATGATCATCTTAGACACATTGTGTTTTACATGTATTTTTTGTAACATAAGTAATACTGTTACCATAATTTTTAAACATTTAATTGGATATCTAAATTTTGAAATGATTAAACAGTTGTTCAGATGCTTTCAGTGGAATTGTAATTAATATGAAGCTTCAAAACAAACATTTTTTTTTATGTTTCTAGTGAAGTTATAAATTTACAAGTAAGTCATGATATATATATAGTAATAATAAAAGAACACAATATCGTGTACAGCAATTAGTGAAAAATCCACAGTAAACAGAACAAACTTTCAGAAGTCTGATAACAGAGAAACTAGTTTCGACACATTCGTGCATCCACTTCAGTTTCCGGTCGTCTTCTGAAGACAACACGAGACTGAAGAGGATGCACGAATGTGTCAAAACTAGTTTTTCTGTTATTAAACTTCTGACAGTTTTTTCCATTTACTGTGGTTTTTTCACTGATGCTGTATATACTTTTCATGTGTATATGTATGTATCATATTTCTGTATTCAGTTTTATATTGCTGTCAAGGAAAAAAATGTGTTGTCTGTATTTGTGTACCTTTTTAATATGCCGTTAGATTATAGAAACATTTAAACACTAATATCCTTTGTCGTTGTTTCAGTGAGAGTACACCAGAAGGAAGAAGAATAACAAAATTAGATCAAATTTTGTTGAATGGAAACAACATCACAATGGTAAGGTTAATTTGAAGAAATATACTCTCAGTGTAGTTGTGTGTTTGAAAGATAAAAACGTTTTCATAAGCATAAAAAACAGTATACTTCAGCAGGTTAATGCATCTAGAAATTAATAGAGGTATTAGTTTGAATTTGATTCAGTTTCTGTTTTCATAAAATTCCGAACTTACATATCATATGTTACCCAGTACAAAATTAATTCAGTTAAAACTGTTTTTATAACATCTCTTGGCATAATGTAAGATACTTTTCAGGGCTTTTTGGATAAATATCAGTGAAGTAAACTGTAAGTAAGGTTAGAAACATTTGAGACCCAGTAGGCTAGAGGACTAATTTGATTAGCAGTAATGTTAGATTTAATCCCACTGTACTTCAGGCTTCAATGTTGAAAATTACAAAATTTCACAGTTATATGCCCCCTCTCCTTAAAACAACTTTAGTTTATTACATGATGGTAATATTGTTTTAGACTATGATTTTAATTTTATAATTTAGATGATTGTGTTGTTTGAATAGAGGGAGTTTTTGACATCCTGTCATGTGTTTGTGACTTAGTGACCAGAACAAACATGAAGTGAAAATTTATAAAATTATATTAATGGTATAAAATGTGAGTTAGGTGAGACTAGGTTGAATTATTTATTGATTGTTAATTGAAGCTGTTACAATGGTGGATTGATTATTGACTTAGCAAGTTTGTTAGTCAGTCCATTGTTACTTCAGTTTTGTAAGCATTGAGTTTGTGTTTGATGAAGAAATAAGAGATATGAAGATAGCAAGTGCATAACTGTATAATATTTGTGAAGTTAGGCCTATAATAAGTTTGTGAAATTGTGTAATTTGGAAGTCTTGTGTTTTGTAGTCAAAGAAATAAACCTTTCATTTCATTAAGTGTAGTGAACTTCACATTATTCTTTTTTTTACTGAATAACCAAATAAACCCACAACTCAAAAGAAACCATTACAAAATTGGTTTAAGAAGTAGGATTTTTTTGGTAAAAATAAAATCAGAACTCAACTTTAAGAAGAAAGGGCAAAAACTGTAAAAAAGAGACAGGAAGTTAAGAGAATAATTATAAGAACAAAACATAAGATTTATAGAATAGTTATAAGCAAAAATCAATTTGATTGAGGAAGCCATAGGAAATGTATATATGGATGTCAATGAAGTAAATAGGAAAGTTTAAAATGATATTAGAGAAGTTCAAAAGAACATTATTGAAGCACAGAAGGATTACAATAGCAAAATCAAAGAAGTAGTAAGTGATCACAATGAAGTACAAAAGGAAGGATTATAACAACAGGAATGAGTGATGTGCAAAAGAATATCAACACCAGGATAAAGTATAGAAAATGAACTGGCAAATGCAAGGACCAAACAAGCCACACCTTCCTCTGCATCTGGTCATGAATTCTAGCTTGAAACATCTTATATTAATCACACTTTATGTAATATTTGGCCTGAACCTGTTACCACTACTATTGTGCTACCTGTGGTTGCAAGACATTCCTGTATTACTTCACCTACTCAACTACTTCATAAAGATATGGAATGTAGTTGGCCAGTTCAACAACTTTGTCCAATTGATAATTCAACAGACTGTGATAGTAAGGTAAATGAGACATATTGAGCACAGGTGGTTCTAAATAATTTCTAAGGTGAATAGATGCAGTGGTGTGCAGCAAGCCATTCATTTTGCTATAATTTTAAAATAACCTGCTTTAACAGTATTAAGCAACCTTCCTAAAAAGGCTTTAGTGGACACCTTATCAAACAGATTTGAAGTGTCACATCACAAGGAAGTTTATAAAGCAAAGTACAGGAGCAGAGTAATGAAGGAGAAGAAAGATGAGACCTTAGCTACACTTGTGGGAAATGTGGAAAGATGCACCCACATGAAATGATGAATCCATTAGCATGTGACCAATTCTTAGATGCCATAGTGGATGATGATATATTAATTAGAATAAATGGAGGTGCACATCTTTAAGGATGCTATCCAATTGGTGATGGACCTTGACCATCCAGGAATTATGGAATCATCAGATGATATAGTGTTGAAACATCAACTTCTTCTGCTGGAAGTTTAGAAGAACTCAAAAAATTAATTAAACAACTGATTACTGAGAATGAAGATAGAAAGCCACAGAAAACCAAGTGTTTGAACTACAACTTAAAAGGATATGTTGTTAGAAACTCCAGACAAAAGCCTCAAAAAAATAAAATTGCTTTAAAAGTATGATGAAAAAGAGGAACTAATATAAATATTGAAAAGTGTGCAGTATATCCAAGACTCTAGTAGATCATTGATGATAAATTTCCCAGTTGATACCATGAAGGTGAAAATATTTCATCTGCTTCAGTTGAGATAAGGAATGCATTACTTAAAGAAACCAGTTCTTGACCCAATTGATTTATTGATGCAAAGCTTTGCAACATAATGAATGACACTGGCTCTATAATTACCTTTGTTTGATCAGTCTGGTTATGAAGGGTAGGAACTTGACTCCAGAGATAAAACAAGTTAATGGATTGATGCAATCAGCAAGATATCACAAAATTCCAGCAAGAGGAAAGTTAGAAGGTAACCTTATGGTGGGAAGCTTCTCTACACTACATGATGTGTGGGTGATTGACATATAAGAAAGGTGTATATTAGGAATAAATTTCATGTGGAAACATAGATGTGACATTAGGCTAGCTTTGAACAATTTCGCAGTCTATAGGCAGGAAATCCCTATGAACTACATAATACCACCACTAGAAGTTGGGACCTTCAGTGGACACTATGATAGAAACACAAACTAGTGAAGATAGCCAACCTAAATTGCAACAGGGCAGAATTCAAGATGACAAGTGCTACAAGCCAAATATCATCCACTGTGATCATCTTTGGAAGTACTTCAGCAGTTTGTAGCTTCAGAGAAGAATCAGTCGGCAATAAGTCATCCTGCTGAAGAGCTTGAAGTTGCTGTTGAGGCCACTTCCAGGAATAGAGTTACCAGTGTATTCCATCAACCATGTGTGTGAAGAGAACTCCCTCACCCCAGTGATAAGATAGCAAATATTGATAAAGGGCAAGAGGAAATCCCACCATTATAGCATAAGCCATGGAAAAAAAACCACTAAAAAGATTTGGTGAATGGACAGTTTAGAGATAGTAACCAAGTATAGAAAGAATGTGTTTTTGTAACCAAAATTTTGTTTGTCATACAGTTAATGATTTAAGGATTACATTGTTTATATTTACAAACATTAATGTCGTTTATTGTCAAAAGCTATTTATTGTTAATTATGGAAGCTTAACTTTAATCCACAGTTGTTTTCTTTGTTTAACAGGATTGTTGAAGGAACTTCTCACTCCAGAGAGCAGTTTTGGAGGTTTTATTTTTAATTTAGACACTTAAATTGTTTTGGCTATGGGAAGTGTTTGATGTTGAGGGATGAGTGTATGAATGAATGACTACAGCATTCTTGAAACTTTAGTAAACAATTTGAATGATAGAAAATGCAAGGAGAGCCTTGGTATTGGGTGAAAAGCCTCGTTAGAACTGGATAGGTCAGGTTGTATGTGGTTGACATATTATAAATAACATATTGTCCTTTGCTTTCACTCTTGGGTTCTTAGGATTACTAAGGTAGTTTTCTCCTGTTGATTTGACACTGTTGGTTGCTTGACTCGAACATTGACAAGAACATTAGTTTTATGGTTTGAAAAGTTTTGTGAATTATAGTAAAGTTAATTCAAGTAATAATAATAAATATATAATCAGTGCTAAGAATACAATAAATAATATTTTGTTATTAACTTGTTCCCTAAAAATGTGATTTGTAAATGATTTCAATAAAAACTATATCATAAAAACTGCTTAATCTGGTTCACACCATAAAAGTTGTTATTCATGAAAATTGATGATATATATAACACCTAGACCACAACTGTGTTGCATCCCAATTGATCTGATGAAGTCTTGTGTAGTGCAAAAGGCCTCTTTGGCACTGGATGTGGCAGATTTAGTGTGGTTGAAATATTATAACATATTCTTCTTTTGCTTTTCACTCATGAGTTTGTAGAATAACTTATTTTCAGGCCAAACAAAACATCAGTAAAGGAATGTGTGTTCAGCATTATCTGAAAATGCTTCTTATTTCCTGTAAATGATCTAAGAAGTGATATAATTGTACAAGATCTGAAAGAGAGAATTATTGTTAACATTTGATATTTCATTAGATCATTTGAAAGAGTGTACACACTATTTTGATACCAAATAGTCATATAGTACATAATCACTGGACTACATACTAAAGTAGTCGTATAGTACATGATCACTGGACTACACACCAAGTAGTCGTATAGTACATGATCACTGGACTGTATACATACCAAATAGTAATATAGTGCATGATCACTGGACTACATACGTACCAAGTAGTCGTATAGTACATGATCACTGGA